CCCACTCCCCACCCAACCGCCACCACCTCGAGCCACAGAGATGCTCAACCCTCGTCGACAACCACCTGAATTCGATAGTAGATAACATCAGTGAAGTACCAAAGATTTACGTGAAACCCCAGAGAAAAAAATAGTGAAAGAATACATGTGTGCGCATGAAGGATGGGCGTTGTTATTGCTTTTATCTCTTCCGAATTTGAAAAGATTCCTTTCTGGGGTCAGGGACTTGATACTTATGTATACTTATTACTCCTCGTTTGATACTTTATCGACTTCTTAAACTTCCAATTTCTGTGATTTATTCTGTGATTGCTTTATTACCATATTCAAGGATATTTGACTGTTCAGCGGTGGCATTTGTAGGATTATACGAGACATTGAATATATCATTCGGCCGGCATAATTATTTTACGATTGATAACAATTTTTGCATATTGTGCATAGCCCGGTTCTATCATTTATCGCCATTAATAAGAAAGTGCCTAATATAATGATATATGTAGCTTAATGAATCATTTAGTACTGTCTTGTTGGTATGTGTTGGTGAGATGATAATATTTTAATTAAGGCAGATAATAGATCTGTTTGCGATTTATTTTTATATTCCAAGTTTTCCAAATAAAAGATGGCAATTTGTATTCTTTAATAAAAAAACAAAAGAAACAAAAACACAAACAAAAGAAAAAAACAAAACAAAACAAAACAAAACAAAACAAAAAATCAAACAAACAAACAAAATCTAGTATTTGTATTTGATGTGAATTTGAGGAAATTTTTATTTTTAAAAAAGAAAACTTCTCCAAGCATCCGCAATTTCTGAAAATTCAAACAAAATTATTCTCAGCTCTTAACAACAGCTCTTTCAAACAAAAAGTTAAATGTTTGAAAGTACCAATGTTCGTGCAATCGTTATATCGTACATTCTTTAAAATGTAAATCTCCAAACATATATGCTCGGAAAAGCGTACAAGAATGTAAATTTTAGAAACCGGAATGAACTCCATTATTCGAATTGAATGTATTCATATAGTATTTTATTTAAGATTCCTAAAGTTCTTCTTCATTAAGACGATTACTTTTCCCAAGGTAATAATACCCTTTATAGAGCTCGCTTCGCTTTTATAAGCTTCTCTTTCATATTGAATGTCTTCCAAATACGACCGCACGCATACACGCACTCACACGCACACACCCTTGTTTCCTTCGTTGGCTAGAAGAATAATCTTCTTTTACGAGCATTCCTACACCGTATCGCTAAATCCTTCAATATTAATAGACTTAGCACAGTAACAACTGCAAATATTTCAAGTGCTTCATTGCGCACGTAATCCCCAAGTATCTAAAAAGTACCCGTTGGACTTGCGAGTACTCGTTGAGACGTGAATTTTCATGCACACGACAGCTTGTAAGGAATAAACGAGCGGATAGATGAACTTGGTTTCATAGATGCCCAAGGTGCACTCGAACACGACGCGACATCAAGGACCCTCTGCTCCTCCTCCTCCTCCTCCTCCTCCTCCTCCTCCACCACCACCTCCTTCTCCTCCTTCTCCTTCTCCTTCTCCTTCCCCATCTCAATTACCCTCGCACATACTCGCGTACACGCAAATTTTTATTACGCTCGCGGAATCTTTAAAACTTCTTTACTTGGCTATGAGATCTAAAAATGGCTTAAGGAGGGGGATGATGCAAGGTCGCGACAGAATGCTATTAGGAGATGGGGAGAGGGAGGAGGGGGTGGTGGTGGATGAGTCTACGACAGGAAAGGCAACTAGGGATCCTCCAATAAGCCAAATTTTTTTACCAAATTATTTATACGCGCCACTTTACAAAGAAGCGCGCGAGATTTTTAAGAATCGCTCGACTCGAGTGGGGATCATCGATTAATTCGCAGGCTCTGGTCGAGCAATGTTCCGGACGTTTCGGTCACATCGGTACTTTCACGGGAATTTCACGGGAATTTTACGATTAGCCGGAGCCGAGTTATTTTCTTAGTCGGATAAAGTAATGTTTTTGCGGCAACACTTCGGCACGAAGTAAATCGTTATTGACGCGTAATCGGCAGGGCTTCTGCATTTCTCTAACAAACTATCGCGCTCCAAGTTCATAAGCGATTGTGTGCGGTTATCACCGTGCGCTCTCTACGCACCCGATAATAATAATAAACGTTCGGAAAGGAGGCGATGTATTGTAAGATAATTAATTATAAATGGGAGAAACGAGGGCTGTGTCGTGTGTCCGTTTGTGGCAGAAATTCGCCGTCGGATTTTAAGGAGCGAGTAAACGCATTTGGAGCTGCCTCGATTTCAGGAAACCCATGTACAATAATCCTTTATATAATTCACGACCTACTTTCTCACAATTCGAGCTACGCGTTACCAAATGTGGATGGATTCGCTATTGTTCACAGGATTCGTTAAGGCGCAAAGAGCGCGGCGGGCTCGAGCCACTGCGTCGAAAAATAATTAAAAGACAATGGCGGCTCGTTGCCATTCTTTTTCACGATTTAGCTTGGCTTTCGTGGATGCCGAGTCGCCCAAATTCGCCCCACCCCCTCCGTCTCGCACAGACGCTCGTGGCTCCTCCGCCGGATTAAGAACCCCTCGCGTATTTTAGGTGGCGTATCGCCGCCTGTCAAACTTTCCAGCCCGCGCGCCGCTACTTCGCTCTACTCTCTTCCCTCTTCCCTCTTCCCTCGTCCCTCTTCATAGCTCGCTTTATTTCTTACCCTCCTTATTTCGAGTGTCTCATTCGTTTCCTGCACTTCTTTTTACCTTTCTTTTTTTCTCATTCTCGATTATACGGATGTAGCTTTTGTTGTTGGCTTTCTTTCACGTGCCATGGTTCTTTACTTATTCGCGCTGCTGGATAAGTTGTACAAAAGTCGCCTGTACTGTGCAACGTCAAACACTTTTTCACTTTCCCCTCCCCACCCTCTTGTTTCTCGTCTTTTCTTTTCCTCTCCTCTCGCCCCCTTACGACGCCGTTTGTTAGCTTGCTGTAATAAGAATTCGGCTATTTTCGTGTCGTCGCGTCCCATTAGAGCGCCCGTGCCGACACTTATATCGCATTATTAACGTATATAATGTCGATGAGATTTCAAAATCTCGTTAGCCGAATGACGCGCAATAAAGAAAATTGCGCTCTAATTTCAATTGGCCATTTACCCCGATATCGCTCGAAATTGTTGCCTCCTTCGACTTTTTGACAAATTTATACGACCGACGGCTTGTTGTGCGATTCACGCCGCCTTAATCAGGGCAATGTCCTGCGACGAGGAGGAAAGCCTCGGGACGCACGATATTGCATTTAGACGTTAATATGATCGCAGACCCGCGCACCTATCGCAAATAAATTACTCTCCGTTTAAAATTATCAAGTTTTGGTAACTCCTCGAGATTTACACCAGAGCAGCCGTAAGCCTATACTTACCGGCGGCTTATGAAACATTAGCTATAAATATCGAAAAACACGGGGATATAAACAGCACGAAAACAATTTTTAGACGCGATTATTCGAGATGAAAAGAGGATAATTTGAAAAGGAATATGGTCGAGGATTCGAGGCCAGATTTTCGAACGATGATTTACACGACG